ACATATAGTTTTGGCATCATTCATCTCCACTGATTCTGTTAATGGTGAGTAGTTGTCAAAGTGCTAATTGTCCTAATTTGCTGTGCCTGTGAAGGTGTGGATGTAACGTTTGCCTAGTGAGACTTCCTACTGAAGATGAACATGCATTTCCCCCAAAAATATAAATTGTAGTGTTCTGGACAAAACAACCAAACAGAAAAGTACAAATTCTAGTCGATCTAAGTGGAACAATTGCTATAGCCAAGCTGCATTTTCTGAGTGAAACCATACAAAGTAGATTTGCTTTAATTGTATAGATTTCAAAACAAAACCTTTAGTAGTCACTTACATTGAAAACCATGTGCAATATTAGCAATGTGAAGCAGAGGAATTAAACATAAATTAGATATTAGATTAGATGTTCTTCTCTTTTACAACGAAAAGTATATGGATAAAATTTCAAACTCCCAAGCAAATCAATCTTTTAAGGGATTTTGAAGAATGTCAATGCAGCTACTACAAAAATCCCAACATAGCATCTTGTTTCTTGAGCATTTTGTGGCTTTTACTTTAATCTAGGTTGACACAGATCCCATTTGTTTATATATAAAGTGTATAAACATATAAATTGAGCCAATATGTAAAATAATTGTATAGGTAGGGTTTGAACTGTGGTTAAGCACAATATGAGGTCCCCTAGAGGCACTGTCCAGAATATTTTAGATGTTTCTCTCCTCCAACCCACCTGATTTGAATTAATGTGTTATTAAAATGCCTCTGCATAACATAAATAGGTAATTCAGCCATTACTATTCTGTAAAACATGCAGAATATTGGCCCTTACAGACCAGAATTGGACACCCCTTGTCTTCAGAGTTTTATTTAGGAGATATGACAAGCTAAAAAGATCAAAAATATTGAGCTCAGATACATGAAATGAAATATTGCTACCAGAAGTCCTAGCACTCTATTTCTGATCAAGCTTTTTTGCATAGATTTTTTCCAAAGCTACAGCAGGAGTGGCAAATTGAACATGATGTGACGGAAACGAAAGATTAACAGCCAACTAGCAATGAGGGGCCCTTTGGTGCATATGCACTGGCACCCCTTAATAATGACAGCAGTCTCTTTTTTAATGCACCATAGACAGCTTCATCTTCCTGTGATGAAAAGGAGGGCTGGGAGATGTTACCATTTATGTGTGACGAAGATGAAAGGTAAAACTTATTAGTTAAGCGCTACGCTGAGAAACTGAAAGAAAAAAAAAAATCTTCACGGGAGACAAGCGATTCATATCTTGTAGGGGCTGAAAAAAAAAAAAAAAGCTTTGTATTGCCTTTTAAAGAACTCGCTCAACCATTTCAGATTCCGGGGTTTGACCCTGTGAAGTCTGCATGCATAATCTATAACGGTGTTCTCATCACAGAGTTCCTTTCTTGGTTCCTTGGGAATTGGTTTTGTATCCCTTGGGTTTGAAGAGTTTCATAGCCGCAGACAAGGATGCCACTGTTCCACTCGTCTCCAGCCTACGAGCGCTGTCTGTCACTGTCGCATCTTCTCTTCACCATCTCTTCTTGAATTCTGCCCACTATACAGTCTCTTCTATCCCTCAGACTGTTCTGTGTGGATCGTCTCACTCATATGTTCTCATTCTTCTTTTCTGTATATCTTTTGCTCTTGTTTTTTTTAACTTGTTTTTTTTTTTTACTCAACTTTAACTTTTATATATGCTTCTTCTGCTTCTGCATCGCTGTTTCATTTTTGTGATTCTCTGGCTTAACTGTTACTTACACTTTTCTGACTTTTTGGTGGGTTATTTTGTCTTTGCTCCATTTACTGCTATGCGTTGCTTTTTTATGCAATGTATCAGTCACGATACATCTCATCTCTATTTCCTATGTGTGCACTTCTTGTTGAGGTTATATATATATATGAGCATTAATGGATTGTGCTAGACATAAAAAAAACACATTGCATTAATATTTTAAGTCAGCGCTGTCTGTTAGCAAAATATCTCATGAACTGCATGATGGGTGTTATTGAAACTCATATATTTGTTGGAGAAACATCTACCCCCGATCAACTTTTGCTATGAACCAGATTCAAAGTGGACAAAGCTAATTGATAAAAAAAAAAAAAAAATTGCTGTTAGCTACTTAGCTAATCTTACTGTTAATGAGGTAAAAGTCAGTGTGAAAGGATCTCAGACCTATCCTCATTCTATTATTTGAGCACTTACAGATCTTTTGCTCCTTTTGAAAAAAAAAAAAAACTTTGCTATAAACTTTTGTAGTCTGCCCTGTATGTTTGTTAGCAAAATATCCCATTACTACTGAATGATTTCCATTGAAATGCTCCAAAAATAGAAGTTGAATGCACATCTACAACTAATTAACTTTTGAAACCAAGTAGATACAAGATGGTTTCCATAACTATTTTTTTAAAGCATCAACAAAACTGTATCTAATTCAGTATAGTTTGTAAGTGTTGAGCTAAATTTAGGTGCAGTAGTAGATGAGGGTCATTTTCAACACATAATCTAAGCACTAAAATCTATGCAAGTTCCTTGCTTAAAACTGGCTTGCAATTCAATTGGCAATATGCATTGCGTAAAGGAATACTAATTTCATTGATCAGAGTAGATTTTTTTTGTTCTCTGTTCCTGAATGTCTCCTTAGCATCTAGCCATATACAGAAGGTCCAGTGAAACAGCATTGTTTCATTTTAATAGCCACGTGGTCCTCATTAATATTCCTTTGTTTTAATCCTTTCTAAGGCTCACGCCCCCGTGACTGTGGTGATCTATTTGCCAGTGGTCAGAGAGAAGACGGCATCTACTCCGTGTTTCCTCTTCACCACCCTACCGGCTTCCAGGTCTACTGTGACATGACCACTGACGGAGGAGGCTGGACAGTGAGTCAGAACACAACACAAACCTTTACTGCACACTAACACCAAGCTCTTAAGCTTTCCGTGTATCTTCCAAAAGCAGAGACGTCCACTTACTTGATACATTTATTCTAGGTTTTCTAATAAAGATGAAAACAGGGACAAGGAAACAAGGGCCCTTTCATCCTACATCCTCTTATACATCTGTTTTTAGAATGTATTTGCTAAAAAAAAAAAAATCAATATTTACTGTGCATGAGTCTTCCTGCAACATTAATTTTATTTGTTAGAGTCATCTAATACATCAGGATCGATCGATCGATCAATCTATCTATCTATCTATCTATCTATCTATCTATCTATCTATCTATC